AAAAGAAAGAAAGAAAAAAAATTTACATATCAACAAGCGAAAACTTTTTTTAACACTTATAATTCTATCCGCCAACCAGAGACAATGGCTCAGAACTCCTTGCTAAATATTTCCCAGATTGTTGAATATGGAAGCCTGTTTTGAAGCCCCCAAAATAGAACCTTACCCTCTGGTGCCGCTGGAGACTGATGCCTCATGACGCCCCTTTCCTTGCCAAGAAATACCTTTATTTCTGCAGCCCCACTTTAAAGAGCGTGTCATAATTCATTTAACCAACGCCCTTCTGTAGGATACGTGAGGTTGGGGCTCACTTCTGTCCTGTTTCACACAGCATAGCAATGGTATCTTAGAGCCGTGATTTGCTGGCACACCAACTTAATTATGTACTCAGGGGCAAGTCCCTGAAATTGAATTGCTGGGTCACAGGGCATGCAGCTGTTTAAACATTTACCAATTGCCTTCCAGAAAATGTTACCACTAGCAAGGTTTGAGAGAGGCTGTTTTCCCATGGGGGAAAACATGTATCTATTTATTTAGGAGCCGGGATCTCCCTCTGTCACCCAAGCTGGAGTGCAGTGGCGCAATCTTGGCTTACCGCAACTTTTACCTCCTGGGTTCAGGTGATTCTCCTGCCTCAGCCTCCTGAGTAGCTGGGACCATAGGCGCCCGCTGCCATGCTAATTTTTTGTATTTTAGTAGAGACGGGGTTTCACCACATTGGCCAGGCTGGTCTCGAACTCCTAAGCTCAGGCAATCCGGCTGCCTCGGCCCCCCAAATTTCTAGGATTACAGGTGTGAGCCACCGCACTGGCTGGGAAACACTTATTTTTTAAATAAACAGAGCAGGTATATTTTAAAAAGAGCGATTGGAGGGGGCCAGACATGGCTTTACTGTCGACCCTGCCATCTGCTGGGTGTGAGATCTTGAGGAAGCTGTGTGGCCTCTTTGAGCCTCAGTTTCCTCATCTGCAAAACCAGGCCTTCCTAGCTGAGCTCTTAAAAGACTGGCTGAGATGAGGCAAGATGAATGGTGATGAATGTGGGGTCTTTCTGCGGCGATGGTGGATAGGGATGATCACAGGGGCCAGGCTCCCTCATCCTCTGATCTGGGCAGTGAAAACTGGCTTCTAAGTATGACCTGATGATCCCAGTGATGTCGCAAGCAGGTTCCAGTCCCTGTGCCTCCCATTCCCGCTCCCAAGAGCCCGCCCAGCCTCAGGAACTGCCTCCAGCCCTCTGGCCTTGACTACTTAAGGGACCTGGATCCACCCCACAGCTGGGACAGTCCCAGCACACTGCACTGGGGATCTAGGATGGGGGCCTTGGCCGGGGCCCTGCTGTCCATTCTGCTGGCATTGCTGCTCACGTCCACCCCAGAGGCTCTGGGTGCCAACCCCGGCCTGGTCGCCAGGATCACTGACAAGGGCCTGGAATATGGTAAGAAGCCACGGCTGCTGGCTGGACTTGGCAAACCCAGGCCCCAGGCTGCTCTGCGTACAGTGGGGACAGGGAGAGGGGACACAGACTGGACCCTCTCCCTGGGGCAGTGCCATCTTCTGGGGGCTCTGGCTCCGATTCCAGCCTCACCACCCACCAGCTGAGTGTCCTGGGCAGGTTATTTGTGGTAGTGAGGCCCTCCACCAGCCAAGAGAGCACAGCTTTTCGTGCAAGTAGTTGATCTGGGAAATTATCCCAGGAAACACGGTGGGGAAGCGGTGCTGAGAGGAGGAAGAGAACACAGCCAGGAGAGTGTGGGATTGAACCCGCCGCCACCTCCGAGGACGGGACCCACTCCGCAGGGAAACACATGCCTCTGAACTAGAGGTCAGAACTGTGGTCACCTCCAGAGGCAGCCAGAGACCCTGAAGGGCGTGAGGGAGCCTGCTGGGGTGCTGGAAGATGCTGTGTCTTGATTCAGGTGATGGTCACATGGCTGTATAAACATTAAAAATTATTTAGCAATACCTTTAAAATTAGTGCCTGTTAGGCACTTTATGTATATTATTCCTCAGTTTTAAAGAATGGGCAGGCCAGGCACAGTGGCTCATGCCTGTAATCCTAGCACTTTGGGAGGCCAAGGTGGATGGATAGCTTGAGGCCAGGAGTTCGAGACCAGCCTGGCCAAATTGGTGAAACCTTGTCTCTACTAAAAATACAAAAATTAGGCAGGCGTGGTGGCAGGCACCTGTAATCCCAGCTACTCAAGAGGCTGAGGCAGGAGAATCACTTGAACCCAGGAGGCAGAGGTGGCAGTGAGCCGAGATTGTGCCACTGCACTCCAGCCTGAGCAATAGAAGGAGACTGTCTCAAAAATATAAATAAATAAAAATAAAACAAAGAATGGGCAAAAGTAGGACTATTTCTGTAGTTGAAACAAAGCCCCCGGACTATCCAGGTGGCAAGGGAGCTGGGATATTTATACACCTCAGTGATTGATTGAGGGCTTCTAGGCAGGGGGAAGTCAGCTCCCCAGCATTTCTGTCCTGTTGCATGCACCTGCTTTCTGCAATTCCAGGACAAAGAGCCTCAGACCCCCACATTCATCACTATTCATCTTGCCTCATCTCAGCCAGTCTCTTAAGAGCTCAGCTAGGAAGGCTTGGTTTTGCAGATGAGGAAACTGAGGCTCAGGGAGGCAGACATTGGCAGCTGGGAGTCAACTGTCACTCACTGAAAAGACTCAAGGAGATGGACAGGCACTGGCCAGAGGTGCTTCCTGCATTCCTAGAGCCTGAATTGCCTTATCTGTGAAATGAGATAACAATACTCCCTTAGGTAGGGTTGTTGGGAGCCCGCACTGGCTTGAGGCAGGGAAAGGGAAATCAGGGAAGGCTTCCAGGATGAAGTAAGGTGGAAAAGACAGTGGGAATTACACAGGGACAAGGGGTAGCGTTCCAGGCAGAGGAACCCCAACAGGTGCGTTTGCTAGAGGAAGAAGAGCAAATTGGAAAGAGGTGAAAGAGGAGGCCACTGGTCATCTGTGTACCCATGCCTGCCTTGGGGGCAGAAACCTGGGTCCCTCAGGTCTCGGAACAGTGGGATCTGGTAACTGTTACTTGCACTGAAACCCTGTATCAGGAGGGTTTGTCTTTTGTTCCATTGCGCTGTGCACACGCACCGTGTTTACGTAACCAAAATATGGTCCTTGCCATATTTTTAGTAATATAAACCCTGTTTGCTGTTCCAGCATTTACTGAGTGCCCGCTGTGTGCCAGGCACCAAGCTGGGGTGCTTGTTATCTTCCCAGCCCCCTTTGCTTTGCAGTTGAGATGCCACCCTGATAGGAAAGTATTGTTGTCTTGCTATTTGACAGATAAACAAAGTGAAGGTTGGTTGGGGACTTTGTCAAAGTCACCCAGCTAGAAAGATGCCCCCTTTCTCTAGCCCCCAATCCTTCCAGTTTCTTCTGCACTGGCCAGATGCCATGAGGGACCAGAAGGAGGACCACATGCCAAAGCGCACAGCACTTTTGCCCTCAGGGAGTTGTTGGCAAAGGCATTCCATTTCCTCATCTGTAAAATGGATGTGAGCATAACAATGCCACAAGAAACGCAGGGATGCCTCTGAACGTCCCTTGTGCCACCTGGCTCGCAGGGGGTCTCATATGCTGTCATTGCACTTAATGACTTAATGCCAATAAGGATGTTGGGCTCTCTCCTCAGGGCAGGTGGGAGCCACAGCAGGGTTTAGAGCAGGGGAGGAGGCAGGTCAATCAAGCTGACTCCCAGCTGTTCCTGTCCACAGCGGCCCAGGAGGGGCTATTGGCTCTGCAGAGTGAGCTGCTCAGGATCACGCTGCCTGACTTCACCGGGGACTTCAGGATCCCCCACGTCGGCCGTGGACACTATGAGTTCCACAGGTGGGGCTCTCCCTTCTGCTGGGGCGCCGAGGTGGTTGGAACTGACAGTCAGAGGGGATTGGAGAGGGAGGGAGGGAGAGCCTCAGGATTGGGCTGCAGGGGGACCTCTCTGGGGCAGACGGTCGGATAGTTCCCTGAGCAGTTTGGAAGGAAATTCTGAAGGGACAATCAGGCCCGAAGCACACTGCACCCCTCCCCACCTACGCCTCTTGAGTGTTTCCTTCATTCCTGCCTTCTTTTATTCAGTCCATCAGCAAACATCTATTGAGCACCTACTATGTGCCAGGCAAGTAAAACAGAACTTGACCGTTCTTTTCACACTGTTGACAACCTTGCTGACCCTTTTTGGGTCTTCTCTTAAGGCTCATCATCTTCCGTAAATCTGTTTCCCCTACCTGGATATATTGAGAGAGGGAGCTGCAAGCCCAAAGGGATGTGTCTATGAACCTCCTCAGGATGCCGCCTGGGGTTGTTAGAGTCATGGGCTCGGATGCTGACTGTGAACCCGCAGGCAACTGCATCTCTTCCTTGAAGTTTGATTTCCTCTCCGTGGAAAGGGAATAAGAACAGTGCTGACCCCTCGGTGCGACCCAAATGGCATGAAGAATTAATGTGCTGAGCATGGTCACATGGTCGGTGCCTGGTACATAGCAGGTGCTCACCTGGAGCAGACCCTGCTGGTCTAGTCCCCACTGTGGAGCGGGAAGGGTGCAAAGGTGGGAGCTGGGTCCAGGCCCAGGGCTGACATCTCCTTCTGTGTCTCTCCCTTCAGCTTGAACATCCACAGCTGTGAGCTGCTTCGCTCTGCGATGAGGCCCGTCCCCGGCCATGGCCTGAGTCTCAGCATCTCTGACTCCTCTATCAGGGTCCAGGGCAGGTGGAAGGTGCGCAAGGCATTCTTGTAAGTTGACTCTGCTCCCGGGCCCTGGAGCTCTTGGCCTTGACCTTTGCCCCATCCTTCTCAGGTCCAAGGTGTTCCTAGCTCATCAGAAAGTCCAGGTGATGGACAGGTAGAGCCCAAGCCCAGAGGTGGCCTGGGGATAGAGTCCTGGCTCTGGGATGAGTGTCTTTTCCTCTCTGAGTCTCTACTTCCTCATCTCCCAGAGGGGAAGGGCCTGCTTCCTTGATAGAGTCATGGGAGGCTAAATGCAATAATATCAAGTCTCCTTGGTTTGCTTCCCACAGAAACAGACCTTAAGGCAAGAATCTCAGTGCAATACTTTATCTTGGAAGCGATCTGAGGAAATATCCACAGGGGAGCAGGGAAATGAGTAAGGGAAGGGAAGGAACTCAGTCCAGTGGGTAAGTGAGGCTCAGTCTAACTGGGGAACTCGGGGACAGCATAGAACACGCCTCTGAGTTACTCCAGCCCCGCCTGGTCGCCCCTTCCTCCTGCTTGCCTTTTGTCAAGGGCTGCTTCCAGAGGCTCTGGCTCTCAGGCACTTTGAACAGGTCTCTGAACTCAGAGGCACTTGGATGGAAGGGTATTCGTGTGCTAGGGCTGTCATAACAAGCATAGACTGGGTGGCTTAAGCAGAAATGTGTTTTCTCACCATTCTGGAAGCTGAAGGCCAAGGTCAAGGTTTTGGCAGGCCTAGTTTCTTCTGAGGCCACTCTCCTCAGCTTGTGGATGGCTACACTTCGGCAATATCCTCACATGGTCTTTCCTCTGTGCTCAAGAAATCCTGTTTCTGAGGCCATGCACATTGGCTCACACCTGTAATCCCAGCACTTTGGGAGGCTGAGGCAGGCAGACCACTTGAGGTCAGGAGTTCGAGACCAGCTTGGCCAACATAGCGAAACTCAGTCTTAATAAATAAAAAATTAACCAGATGTGGTGGCGGGCACCTGTAATCCCAACTACTCAGGAGGCAGAGACAGAAGAATCATTTGAACCTTGAAGGCAGAGGTTACAGTGAGCTGAGATCATGCCACTGCACTCCATCCTGGGGGACAGAGTGAGACTTCATCTCTAAAGAAAAAAAAAAAGAAAAACCCCATTTCTCGCTGTATGTCCTAATCTCTTTTCATAAAGACACTAGTCAGATTGGATTAGGGCCCACCTTAATAGCCTCATTTTAATGTAATCACCTCTTCAAGGGGCCTATCTCCAAATGCTGTCACATTCTCTGGTACTGAGAATCAGAGCTTCAACATTTGAATTTGGGAAGCTGGTGGTGACACAGTGCAGCCCATAACAGAAGGAACAGCCAGTCTCTGCTGAGTGACATGACCATATTTATACTTCAGACCCGCACTGTCCAAAATAGTAGCCACCAGCCATGCCTTTACTGAGTGCTTGAAAAGTACCTGGTACAAGTTGAGATCTACGCTAAATGTGCAACACTGGAATTGAAGATTTCATATTTAAAAAAAAA